GATCTTGGCCCACTGCAGCCTTAGACTCCTGGGCTCAAGTGATCCTCCCACCTCAGCCTCCCAAGTAACTGGGACTACAGGCATGTGCCACCATATCTGGCTAATTTTTTATTTTATTTTATTTTATTTTATTTTAATTTTTGAGACGGAGTCTTACTCTTGCCCAGGCTAAAGTGCAGCAGTGCTACCTGGGCTCACTATGACCTGCCTCCCAGGTTCAAGTGATCCTCCTGTCTTAGCTTCCTGAGTAGCTGGCATAACAGGCCCGCACCACCATGCCCGGCTAATCTTTTTGTATTTTTAGTAGAGACCAGGTTCACCATGTTGGCCAGACTGATCTCAAACTCTGGACGTCAAGTGATCCACCTGCCTTGGCCTCCCAGAGTGCTGAGATTACAGGCGTGAGCCACTGCGTCTGGCGTAATTTTTTGTTTTTTGTAAAGACAGGGCTTACCATGTTGCCCAGTGTGGTGTTAATCTCCTGGGCTCAAGCAGTCTTCTCACCTCAGCCTCTCAAAGTTCTGGGTTTGCAGGCATGAGCCACCTCGCCCAGCCAGCAGTGAATTTTTTTCAGAATTGATGTGAAGTCATTTTCTAACCTCTGCCTTTTTACTTCACTGTAATTATAGAAGGAAAAAAATGCAAAGCCTGATTCAGAACACCACCACCATCTAGGGGCCTCTCTCTTAATTGCGAGCTCATCCTGTTATACCACGGAAGAGTGACCTTGGAGACCAGAGCTCAGCTTGTAGAGGTTAAATGATTTGCCTAAGGTCACAGTTACTTGCAGAGCCTAAAGTAAAACCTGTCTCTGCAGATTTCCAGTCCAGTTCTTTTCCATTTATTATGGCAAAGTGATACATTTCTCTTTAGCAGTCAAACAAGAAGAATTGATATGTTTCATTGGCCTGTAACGTTTGCAGCCTCTTGTACAATACTTAACGATTAGAAAGAATTACACAGACTGTATGAAAAAGCCTTGAAGTTTTATCCTTCAGGAAGAAAAATCCTGTCAGCTTCTCAGATTTATGTGGACAGTTTATATTGATGTTACCTAGAAACTGAAATATGAATGGATCCACTAATGGGATTTCCTTTTACTCTTTAATAGAGAATATCCGAATACCTAGAACATCAGATCTTGTACAGCTGTATCTTGTAGGGCTGTGCTCTTGGTAACAGTAGAGCAATCATAAATCTAAAGTTTCTTTAAAATATAACACAAAATGGAGCAATGTCCCAGCCGCCATGAGGAAAGCCACTGCCAAGAAAGACTGAGTCCCCCGTCCCTGCCCTCTCCCTGAAATAACGAACAGCTTGACCCCCTTAAAAAATATATATATGTGTGTATATATAAAAACACAAAACAGTGTTATTAGTATTTTGTAGTATAATAGATTAAAGCACTGTTAAGCTAACAGATTTATGTTTCAGAGTCCGGGACATATTCTGATTTTTTTTTTTTTTTTTTTGAGACAGAGTTTCACTGTCACCAGGCTGGAGTGCAGTGGTGTGATATCAGCTCACTGCAACCCCCACCTCCTGGGTTCAAGTGATTCTCCTGCCTCAGCCTCCCAAGAAGTTGGGACTACAGATGTACACCACCATGCCTGGCTAATTTTTCTATTTTTAGTAGAGATAGGGTTTCACCATGTTGGCCAGTGTGGTCTCTATCTCTTGACCTCGTGATCTGCCTGCCTCAGCCTTCCAAAGTGCTGCGATTACAGGCGTAAGCCACTGCACCAGGCCCACATTCTGATTTTTTTAAAGGAATTCTAATTATATGTATACCATGGATTATTTATCTTCAAGTACCATAAATTAGGCAATAATTAAATGAAATTTTTTTAGGAGAAGTAATGTTTTAAATTCATTATTCAATCATGAATATTACCTACTGGTTGTCTGTGTTTCACAGAAATTGACTGACAATACCAAATTATTGGCCTCTGGCCAAGCGCGATGACTCATGCCTGTAATCCCAGCACTTTGGGAAGCCATGACCAGTGGATCACCTGAGGTCAGGAATTCCAGACCAGCTTGGCCAACATGGTAAAACCCTATCTCTGCTAAAAATACAAAAATTAGCCGGGCTATGGTGGCACACGCCTGTAATCCTAGGTGGGAGAATTGCTGGAATCTTTGAGGCGGAGGCTGCAGTAAGCTGAAATCGTGCCACTGCACTCCAGCCTAGGCAACAGAGTGAGACCCTGTCTCGAAAGAAAAATACTTAAAAGGAACAGCTACATTTATTTCTCATCATGTAGAAGTACTTTATTGGATAGAGCCCTGACTCACGGATCACTGAGCCCACCACATTATCCTCTGGGCCCCCAAGAGGCTAGCAGCTAAAGAGCCTCAGCATTAGGCTGTCCCTCTGGTATGGACCAGAGATCACTCTATACTAGGGCAACAGTGGCATCTTGTTTCTAGACATGAAAACGTCAGAGCTATTAAAAGATGAACGTACAGTGACAAAACAGTTATCTTGTTTCATCTGTATATGCAGATGAAAGATAACAAAACAGTTATCTTGTTTCATCTGTATATGAGCTCTAAGGTCAGTGAATTTGGGATGCAAACAGAGGCCTGTATCTTTGCTGGTCAGAGAGGCTTGATTGAGCTATGAGAAGGCCCATATGCCCACTGCAGTCATGGGACTGGGGAAAAGGTTGGAAAGCAACAGACAGGTCAGGAGTTTGAGACCAGCCTGGCCAACATGATGAACCCCGTCCCTACTAAAAATATAAAAATTATCCGGGCATGGTGGCAGGTGCCTGAAATCCCAGCTACTTGGGAGGTTGAGGCAGGGGAATCACTTGAACCTGGGAGAAGGAGGTTGCAGTGAGCTGAGATCATGCACTCTAGCCTGAGCGACAACAAAACTCCGTCTCAAAAAAAAAAAGGAAAGCAACAAAAAAACAGGGCGTTCCAATACTGTGTATCTGTAAAACTGCCTAAGGGTGCAACAGTTGCCCCTCTGCAGGTTTGTCAAGTTGCTCCTGCTGGATAGGGATGGATAGCCTCTATATCACATTTTAGTTGATGGACGTAGGAACAGACCATTTTATTGAAGAGACTGGGGGTGATGTTGACACTATACTGTGCAAGAGGCTGAGGATTCTCATGCTCA